GATCTTTAGAAATAAACCACCTCCGTGCACCGTGCGGTCCCTTCGGTATATTGCATAGGTCAACAGAAAGAATTTATGATCTGCGATGGTGGTATAGAGCCAAGATTCCGTGCCAAAAACTATGTGTAGTTTAGACATGTCTAATAACGAAAGAAATTCTGTTCTTTTGTTTTTCAAACTGCGACAGTTAACTACGATGCACGTTGGTTCATTTTTTCTCAACTCTTTTGTCAGTAAAACGGCATTTCGAGGTGATTGCTATCTACGACTAGGCACAACTCTATCTTCAGCACTGTTATACAGGAATATTTGGTCATTCATGAATAACTTATTAAAACGAAGATTAAGATCACCACCCTTTCCTTTAGCGTATTTAATCAATTTTTGCCTCCCTAGCCTGACTTTGGGTGAATAGTCTTCACTGATTCTAAAGTTGGTTCCCTTTAGCTTGCCAGAAGATTTCAGCACGCGTTCTTTTTTTTAAAGATAGAAACATTGATATGACGGGCCTTTTCCTCACCACCGAATATCGGCCTAATCTGTGACATCGTTCAATAGCGTCAGAGGAAATTTTCAGCTGTAAGTCAATAGAACAAAAAGAAATAACATTTTCCTCTCATTGTGCCCACGTTTCCTTCTCATTGTCTGGGAAACCATAAAATACCAGGTTATTTCGACGATCCCTACTTTCGAGGTCATCCTGACAATCTTTCGTAGCCTGACATGCACGCGCAAGCACTCCACATTGAGCTGCAAGTCGCTCAAGTTCTTTTTTGGCCCGTGTTACCTAGGGGGGTGTTATTTTCTACGCACGTTAATCTATCATTTACATCTGCCACTCGCTGCTCAAGCGCCTGGTGCTCTTTCCGCACTGAATGTATTTCTTCTGTTATTTTTTTGTTGAAAAGCTTCGTGGTTAGCTCGGATAGAGCTAAGTTCATCAAGAATGGCAGACTGAGAGATCTGCATTGAAGGTAATGTCATGATGGTGTCGAACATTTGCTTTTCCTGTTGTGGTGCTTGAGGGCCTGGGTTTTGCTCTATATCCCCAGATAACAGCAAGATCATTTTCATCATATCACCACACGCGACAGCACTCGCGTGCAAGGCCGACAGGTAGCAAAGCACCGAACAAAGAACAGCAGTGGGATCTGGCGCCGATTTCTTATACGGCCTACCGTATACAGTGAGGTAAAAGTAACTAACCTGAAGAAATACTCGACGTAAGTTTCCGGCAGCCATGTCGGCGCCAGATCCCAAAGCGGTTGAATGGTGGGTGTGATTTTGTAGTGCTTCGCTGTCACGGTGCTTCCATCGTTGCCAGCTGCATATCCGCTCGCAACCGAACGTTGATACCGCTGGCAGCGCCGTCATGTCGAGTGACATTTGGACCGCAGGAAAGCAAGGAAGTTCAATAAAGAAGTCAGAAATGTTCGGCAGCCATGTTGGCGCCATATATATATATATATATATATATATATATATATATATATATATATATATATATATATATATATATATATATATATATATATATATATATATATATATATACTGGGCTGCTGACCCGCAGGTCGCGGGATTGGCTGCATTTCCGATGGAGGCGGAAATGTTGTAGGCCCATGTGCTCAGATTTGGGAGCACGTTAAAGAACCCCAAGTGGTCGAAATTCCCGGAGCCCTCCACTACGGCGTCTCTCATAATGAAATGGTGGTTTGGGACGTTAAACAACACATATCAATCGATCATATCAACACGCATATAACTCACACGTCACCGCTGCATTAACAATATCTATGCAATGTCCCTTAGCACAGCTACTAGTTTTAGGCGGTGCATTTCTCGTCCGACTGCGTTAGACTTGAACTAGCTTTAAGACGGCATACTGTCGAAAAGGTGAAGTTTACAGTGCGCATTTGTACAACGCTATATTTAGCTTCGCCAACTGGAAACGGTCGGCGCAAGGCTAGCACCCAGAATTTTTTTTTTGAGGGGGGCTGGGTGGAGCAGAATGAGTAACTTTGCCAATTGGTGGTTGCGTGAATGCGTGTAAATATTTTCGTAAAGCACTTGACGTCCCCTTATGGGAGGCCTAGGCCCGGCCACCTAAACCTGCTGGTTTCTTATAATAAAGTGTATTCCTCCTACGCTGAAAAGTCAAATTACAAAAATAATTCATGGCGTAGGGGGTTCGGATTCTCTTCCTCTCTCCTCTATACTTATGGCCTCTTGGTACGGCGTGCGCTTGAAACGGTATTTTTTAAAATCTCACCGCTTTCTGAGCACAGCTACCTTCCAATAGATTGTCTCAGTTATTCTGAATATTGTAGACGCCCAATCAACGAAGAAAGAGTTAAGAAGAAGAAATCAGTATAAAACACGCCCTTTCTGAACTTTTTTGATCTCTCACAAGGGCTTTTTGGAGTTCAAATACAGTAAATTGGCTTGTCATACTTCAAGGGCTATGACATCATGTGCTAGACAAGAATGATGGGCAGGTACAAAGAAATCTGCATCAAGAAAGCGCGACAGAGGAGCCAAAGCGCATAGCAGTTCCTGCACGCAGCACGTGGCTCTTCCAGTACTATTAGACTGCAGCGCCGCTGCTATGGGCAATGCGGAAGGGATCAGGCGATGAGGCGTGGTCAAGCCTCTTAACACTTCTAGTACGCTCTAGCGGGGGGGGGGGGGGGGGGACATGCCACGGCCGCATGCCGTGGCATGTCGCCACGCGTTTTAAACGGGAATGCATTTCTTAGTCAGGTAATGTCGGGCATACGGCGTTGTATGCGGCGGTGTACGCCTCTCCGCTCAAAAACATCCGAAAATGTGTGCTTGCTCTATCTCCTCCCTGCGCCCCAGTCTCCCGCCCGCTCGAGCCTCACTCTCGATCGTTCGCTGGCTGGGCTCCTCTCTAGAACATGCGAAAATGTTTCCTTGAGCCATCGCTGTGAAATGCCAACACCGAGCCGTGAAAGCTGGCGCACCACTCTCCCGTCCGCATGCTCCTCACTCTCGACCATTCGCTGGCTGGGCGCCTTTCAAGGCGATCGCAGACGTCGGTGAAAGCGAATGTCTGACAGCAACGGTACCCTCTCTCAGCGCAAAAAATGCATGCGCATTTTCTCATGAATCTCTTCGGGGAGGGGGAGGGCATTTTTTTCACCGTATATTTGGGGTTCTGCTCATGCGTCTGAAGATAAAAAAGGACGCCGCGTACATCGGTGTCATTCGAGATGAGAAATGACGAGAAAATGCATGTTCTGCCCATAGGCGTATCAGCCGGGGGAGGGGGGACAAGGTGGTGCTAGCCCTTCCACTGAGAAAAGTTGGGCTGAGCCCCCCCACTTTCATCCGTGCTTCATGGTCACTCTTGGCTGCACGCTGGGGAAAATAACAGGTAAGGCGAAGTTTTCCGTCGCATAAGTAATCACTCAATTTTGTTCTTACGGGAGAATGAAAATGTTACGAGGCAATGTCACAACAGAGTGAAACTTCGCCAACATTTCCACTGTGATCATTTTCTTTGTAGGCTCTTTGCCCTGCAGGTCGCCTATGCGACGTTCTCACGTTTTGTGCTGTAGTATTGCAGAGCAGGCAAACGCTGAACCGAAGCCCTATAATATTACGTGACTTGTTCATGCGTTTATACTGCTGCGACCTGTTGATGTACTTACGGATGGGAACAAGCAAACTGTTTATGAACCGGTCAAAGCATTTGTTGCTTCTAGAAAATAATTTTGTTGAAAAGAGATATATCATCACCACTGCTCTGTCGAAGCTGTTTCGAGCTGGTGAGTGTGACGAATCGTTTTTGATGTTTAAGTTTTTATGTACTGATAGGCCAAAAATTCTTTCCGCTTTAGTTTATGATAAACCTGATCAGCCTTGCCTTTGGTAACTTGGAGCCATAACGGCAGCTTGCAAAGTGGCCACAAATGAAGCAGTGAACTCGAGCTCAGTAGGAAGCTCAGCTTTTAAGCTTGCCCCACAATTCCACCCACTGGACCAGGGAGAATGTTAAATACCGTGGTTTTTACCACTATAGAGGCTTAGTTAGGAGTCAGGCTAGTTGATTTTGACTCAACTTGAATTGTGTTTTACAAATCAAAATACATCTCGGACAGCAAAGAAGCACACACGTGCAGCGCTGCTTATTTCTTTCTATTTCTCTTTCTCTCAGCAAGTATTAGCTCAAAAAGATGTATACACGGACAAACTACTAAACACCATTATGCTGCAAGAGGGAATTTTTCATTAAACTCATAATCTATCGCGCCAGCTGCTATGTGTACCCGCTGCTTATGTGATTGGCAGCTAGCCTAGTTGAATACCATTTAGAAGGCGATGCTCTCCAGCTTCGTGACGTCATGTAACAAGCAGACGATTTTGTGGCTCACAAAACATTTTAACACCGAAGAATCAATGGCAAACAATATGGCGTATCGCAAATGGTTTATTCTTTTATATTTTACGTGGCCGTGCATATTAAAGCTTGCTAGGGTGTCGGCGCAAGAGAGACAGAACAAAAAAGTGCGAACGGTACGAAAGCTCTAAAAGCCTGAAAGGTTAACCTTTAATATCAAGGCGTCACAAGCGGAAGAAGATAACATTTTGCGTCACATGTTGACGCGGCCGCGTGGGACGCACTCGGTCAATTTTCCCGTTTGAGGAGGCATAGCTGAAAACCGCATCGCCTACATTCCTTTATAATCGAACGAGGAGAATGAAACGCAAACAACCTAAAAGGTGTACTCTTCTACAGTTGCAGAGTGTAATCATCAGCAAACAGTGCCATTGTAAAAATGGGCAACACGTTCGCCGACAGCGCGTTGTTATCGCAACAATGCATTTTGCAACATCGTCAGGCAATTTGGTTTCTTTGTCTTTTGGCGAACACGCACCGAACACTAGCGTGCCCGATTAGTGGTCGTGGTGGATATCTAATCGTGGCAAACAGGGTTTGGCGACCGTCGCTATAAATGGCATTCATTGTGGTGAGCGAACACTGAACAGAGAGTGTATGAACTTTGGCAGCGAGCACAGAAAATCGCTATCATGCACGTAGTACAGGCTCTGAGTGTCGTTGCGCTCACGTTCATTTCTTCCATGCCCGGAAGGCAACAGGCTGCTCCCACGGCAAAGCCGGTGGCTCAGTGGAAACACCCAGGTAAGTGTAGCGATGACTTAAAAATTATACAACTCGATTGACGTTGATATGACCGTGACGGGCTGACCATATAATAGAACAAAAATTAAGGCAGCTTCGAACGGGTGTGACAAGTGCGGAGTCGGGCTGCTCTTTTTGTTTCTCGTGGGATCCGTCTTTGTTTCCTCCTATCTTTCCTTTTTCAAACCTTTCCTTTATTTTTGTTTTCTTTCACTATTTTTATACATTACTTCTTCCTTCTTTCTCTTCTTCTGTCCTTTTCTTGCTCTCCCTATTTTTCCTTTGTCTTGTCTCTTTTTGTTCCTTGATCGTTTGCTGTCTCTGTTTCTCTAATTTTATTCATGGTTTTGCCCGAGTTAAGGCAAGCAACAACAGCATAAAACAGCATATGACAGCCCAACTTCCGATGGAGGCGCAAATGTTGTAGGTCCGTGTGCTCAGATTTGGGTGCACGTTAAAGAACCCCAGGTGGTCGAACTTTCAGGAGCCCTCTACTACGGCGTCTCTCAAGATCATATGCTGGTTTTGGGACGTTAAACCCCACATATCAATCATACGACAGCCCAGGCCCTGAATTGCTCTGACCTTATAATCATCAAGATTCTCAAAGAACAAAAATATCACAGCATATCCACGGACTGAATGATCATGAGTGGGTCGAAGCGTCCGTTAGTACGTCCGCGCTTGCGTCAGTCCATGCATCCGTTTATTCGTCCGTCCATTCGTGCATTCGAACGTGCGTTCATCAATGTGTCCATGCGTCCATACGTTCGCGTGTCCGTGCACGCGTCCGTCAATCCATCTAGTGAACAACCCATATACCGCCACCGCACACCTTTTCGTCATATATTTATCATATAAAAATACCGCGTTCCAGCGGACATTCCAAGAATTAAACGAGGGTGGCTACTACTACTACTACTACTACTACTACTACTACTACTACTACTACTACATACAGCACGAACGCATGAACCACGGCCTAAGGAGCTTCGCCCCTAAAATCACCGCCATGTCCACAGACTCAATGATGTTAAAGGAGCTTACTCGGAGGTTCACCAAGTGTTTCTTGGAGAGACCATTTTTCTAGGAAGGTTTGTTAACAAGTTGGCACATAATGTCTATAGTACGTCGTGGGCATCGTAGTCGGGTACGTTCTACAGCCGTCACTGTACAGTGGTGGCCACGTCGATGGGCACGTTAACCACCTGCCCCTTTATGCATTACTGGCCGCTGCCGTGAGTCAAATGCCTAACGCTCATAAAAGGCAGACTTGAAGCTATCAGGCGTTTTTCAACGGGGTTGAGAGCAGGCAGGTGAGGGGGCTTGGGGAATATTAGTGACCCGTGCGTAACACTCATCGTAAAAGCTTGTCACGTGCTGCCATGCTATGAAGCGACCAGAACGAAGAGGAAAAAGTCGCGAGGAGGCTGGTGCGCGAGCCATCGAAGCCTGATGACTTGTTCGAAGCCATGTGGCAAGCCTTGATGTGCGTACTGGGCGCAACCTTCGTGTGCGAGCCACGCCACTTCCTTCGGCGCTCACACGAATCCTCCCTAATGCCCTAGGTGGTGGCGTGCCATCTAGTCAGCATTGTTGTAACCAATGCCTTGAGCGGCGACCGAAGAAGTGTACACCGACAACACTGGCATACACGCCGGCCACCGACCATCACCGCCGGACAAGGCACATTTAGAAGATTACCGAGCAAGCTCCTAAAAAAAAACGAACACTTTGGCGCGAGCGAACACTAATTATGCTACAGATGGCCAGGCTATTCATGCTTTTGCCAATGCTACGTTATGCTACAACAGCACACGATGACAGCGTACGACAGCCCGAGCCCCTGAAGTGCTCAGCACTTAAAAATCAAGGTGAATGTTTCCTTTTTAAAGCTCACACCAGAACCTCTGGAAACGACGACACAAAGTTTCAAAATTTTTCATTTGTATTTCGGCCACGCAGGCTGAATGAACTTTTCTGAACCTTGGTATGTTATGTTATTGGCGCGCACTGAGGACAATGTACTTTGTAATTATTGATTGGAAACTACGTAGGCACAGGTAATCGTCTTCGAGAGTTTATGACGTCACGGTGATTGGTTTGGGAACATCAAGGTGGCGTCGCCAAGCACGCTTTCTTTCTGTGTGTTTTTCTAGCTTACCACCAAGTGTATTTTTTATGAAAACGTATTTGTTCTGGAATAGTTGAGGAGGAGATCACTACTAGGAGAAAAATTGTATTTTTCCCTTAGCATCCATTTAAACACCTAAAAAAGCAATGAAATGGCAAAGCTTTGGTGAAGCTTTGCCATTTCATCAATTTGGTGAAGGGCTTTAAATTAATGATAATTAAGCGGATAAACTTGTAGTGTCGTTGCAAAACAAAGCAGACGATCGTACTTTTACTATTATAATGCGTCTGCCATAGGCGGCAATTTAACACCTATGACCTCGGGCAGCGCCGCAGCACAACGTATCAACTTTAAACGTTACGTGAGTGACACTGAAGTACCTGAAAACTTTTTCATGTTAGCGGGTCAATTATCATGCATACATGTTAGTGTGCGTATTGGTATGTGTGTGCCTACATATACATATGTAAAATGGTGGGAATCGAGCACGCCCTCCCCTTTAGAGCCTCATTCCCTCATCTTGCGCGAGTGCTGACCACGTGTGGCTCGAGCGCTAGGAACATGGCCACCGTTGTTTCGCCGCCAGGCCATTTTGTCTGGGGCGAGCAGTGCGTCTATTTAAGGACAAGCGTGTCCGAACAATCGCAGCGTACTGTTAGCAGACGTACCTCCATACATAAAAAAAAAGTTCAGGGAACGAGGTCTGAAGCCACCGAACTCACTCATCACTCATCACGGCGTTTTGTGCCACTGATATGGCGCAGATTTTATACGTCGTAGTAGGCAGATATCAGGACAACCAACCGGCTGGTAAAACGCTGCGGGGTACGGCTGCCATATTATTCTTTTGGATGGAAACTCACTTCTTGCGCAAGGTACTTTAGCACCCCCCCCCTCTCCCCTATTGCCGCTCTTCGCGAACCACTTCACTAAAGACGCGTTCACACCTGAGAGTTGAGGAAAAACGAAAATGCCAGAGCGGCCCGAAAACCCCGACTGCGCGCTTTGAAGATGTTCACATTAGGTCTGCCCCATGCCGCCGCTGCGGCCGTCCATACATTGACAATTATTTTAATTTCGCCTGCTTTCTGAGAACCAAAGTTCGTACCAAATTCTAGTTATTCACATGAATAAGTGAAAAGAGACAGCTCACAGCTTTTCAAATGTTGTTTTGGGAGATAAGCCAGCAAAAACGACTCGAGCGAATGCTCCGGCAACGGCGGCGGCGCATTCAGCTGGCTGTACACAAACGCGATACACGTTGGGGCACGCCGACTCGCTGCCACTGCCCCACCTACTTCCAAAGTTCTCGGCGATCGTAATCCCAGACAGGCTCTCGATGAGCGCGTCCTCGTTAAGGCCATCAAGCTTCGTCGTGCTGCACGGGTAGTTTTCGATTGGAGCCGATGCGAGCCACTCCCGACGCCTGTGCCGCCATGTTGAATCTGTGGCCGGCTGGTTAGGTCACGTGGTTTGATCTAGCGCAGCCAAGGCTGTGAAACGGTAACCGGATACGGTTTTACATGGCGGAAAAATCGCGCTCGGACCAATTTTTGCGCGCCGGGCGCTGCGTTGTTTTTCGATCGCTTGGGTGGTGGAACGAGCTACTTTCCGGAGAGTTTTGCCGGTGTCGCTCTCTTCGAGGCCAAGCATGATTAGGGCTCAGTGTTGTATGCGTTACAGAAAAAAGAATACGTTACCCATTACGCTAACAAAAAAGGCACGCGTTACCACCCTACGTTACGCGCAGAAAAATGTAACGCACACAAAAGACACATAACGCAAGTTACTCGTGCCATTGCAGCACTATCAAACGGCGCGCCCTTGCTGCAGGAACCAGAATAACAATTTAATAAATTTCAATTTATGCTTCATACAAAACCCCTACTAATACTATGATTTTAGCTTAGTTACTGTAAAATTAAAAAAACACTGTACAATTGTGCCATACTTGAGCAATGTTTACTGTATCGTTGCATGTGGTGTTTATAACGTTTCGGCCCATGGTAAAGGCAATTCCTCCGAGTGAGCTTAGAGAGAAAATGTTATTTCATCATCAATGATCTCCTCAAGAAAAACATCACTGACATCAAACATACAGTAAGTCTGAGGACGTGCTTCTATTGGCGAGCAAAATAAATGCACAGATCCTGTAGGAGGAAATATTACGTAAAATATGTAGTCCGCGAAAAAAAATAATAAGACAGCTATGTTATATATTCGCAAGAAAAATTGTCAGTGTTCATGCAAAGCCATTCAAGGTGAGCCTCGCTCTCACAGAAATTCAACAACCAGAAACGTACAGTCGCAGTCAGTGGTAGTTGAAACGGCTTTTATCTTAAAAAGAGAGGTGATAAACGGCCCAGCAGCATTTCATGGACAAAATTCATGACATATGACTCGAAATATTTAAGGGAAAACTACATTTTGAAGCTGTCGTCAGACAGCTTACCCACTTATTATTGAACACGTCCACCCCGACGGTGAAGAGTTTGGTGGTTGATGGACGCATTAGGTGATAATCCTATATTATCAACGCCTGGAAGGCCGATAGCGCTCCACCGTTGCCACAAAATGATAGTTCTGAGAATGTGTAGTTCTGCATAAGACTCCCTGGAGGATTGGAATCAAAGCAACGAGTAATGGGATACCCCAGGTCACCAGAAAATGTTAACAGCACGTTTTGTAACGTAAGTAACCTTACTAAGTGGCAACGAATATGATACTGAACTACCGACAAAAATTAAAGCATGATCGGTGATGGCGTTAGTGAAAGTTCAGTGTGAAAGCTAAAACAACGTCTAAAACAATGACATTAGGAACTGCAGTGCCTCACTTACCGAGGAAAAAAACGTAAATGCACGAG